TGGTACTGCATGGCACAATCGTTGTATGATGTGTAAATACTTCCCTTTACAATTGCACATGCTAAATTGAGTCTTTTTATTTTCCCATATGTTTAAATTATACTACCAAATGAACATCATTATGTTATATATTGGATCCAGAGAGACACGGGTAATCAGATGGAAAGGTTAATTATTCCATATATTAAGTATATTATATAAGCTATCTACAAATTGATGCTGATTATTTAACTCATACAGACTGTTGCAGGCGTATACTGATTTCTATCACCTATACAAATATGGCTATTCTGTTAGTTAAAAGTGGATACCATGAGAAAAAGAATCCCATTTTATTCATGTTATAAATGAACAAAACATGACAAATGTTGGAGTTGCTCGAAGATGTTAGTCTTTCTCTCTTTCTTCAGGCTTTGCCATCACTCTGCAGCTCTTCTGTTTCTCGTCCTCCTCTCTCTGGTGTGTGTGAGTCAGCCTCAGCTCCCCGGGTTCTTCTCCTGCAGACGAGGAGGCTGATCTGAGATCTGCAGACGCTCGGTCCCACTGAGGAAAGTTGTGGATTCGCTCTCAGACCACCATGCACCCTGATAACCCCTTGTATTTTGGACATATTTGAATGAGAATTCGAGATGACTGTCCCTAAAAAGGCCATTCAACTGGAGAAATCCTAGTGCCTGTATATAGTTGATGCTGTACTGTGCAGATTAGATGCAAAGTGTTGTTTCTCTCTGTGTATTTTGTAATCAAATATGTCAACTATGTGGACTTCTAAACAAGTTATATTTGCCGTTATTTTCCCTTGTCGTTTGTCTGTGTTCATTATATATTCCCCTTTTTAAACCAATGTTATACCGATTAAATAAATGCTAGACCATTTAGAAGTTTAGGTTTACTTTAGTTTTTAGGTCATTTGGTAAGTTTGAAGTTTTCATTTAGCTTGTAAAGGATTATGTATCAACTCTCTATAATTATACATTTGCTTGTAGAGTATAATATACATCCTTTTATAATCATCCAGGCCCCTGTTCTTAAGGATAGCTTATCAGGGTATCCTATTTCACATATTTCCATTATGTCTTATGATTGTACATGTACTTTTAATTGTTTGTGTATTGAATTATATTAAAATGATCAAAACTCTTGCACATTAAACAGCAGTCTTTCCTCTTATCTCACTCCTTTACATCATGCCAGCATCCCCCCCCCCCACCCCCTGCTGCTGCCTCTCTTTCTAACCCAATGAGGCCCCCTACAGGTGCAGGCTCACTGATGCTGAACTGAGCAGGTGCACAAACATGCTAGCCTTTTATCTTGTCATTTGACCCATTTTTGCTTTGACTGATTTCTACCTGCACGAAGAGATGATGGCGTTTTGATAAGTAAGTCTAAACTTGACAAGTGAGCTGATTCTTTGTATCAAATATATGGTTATTTTTTTGAAGAAAGCCATCAGACTCCACTGCCCTTTTTTTGTTAGATTCCTTCCTTTGACAAAATAAATAACAGTGATAAGGATGCAGTTGTTTTCTTATTGCTGAGTACACGTGACAGAAAGTCTTCTTTGTTGTGAAGGACACTGATGGAGCTGAGACTTTCAGTGGGAAACCTCACTTCAGCTCCATTGTTCACTTTCACTCAAGTGAATTAATGTGCACCATATTTGTTCCCCCTATCCTATTGCGCCACACCGTGGAAACACCCGGCAGCCTCTTTCTCTCCCTGTCTTTCTGTCTGTCTCTCTTTGTAAAAAGCCAAACTGTGCTAATTGCCTGTGGACTGTTTACATTGCGTCTACTTGGTTTTTCGAGAGCGATATGATTATGCTCTTAAGATCCATAACAATGTCATAAACTGCAATCATGCACTTATAAAAAAACAGTCAAGTTTGCTGAGATGTTAGTTAATTTGAAAAAACAAGAAAGAAACGTTAATTTTTTGTGATTTCTGCTCTAATTTGGAGTGCTGGAATGAGATGAAGTTAGACGTGTGTAGGTGAACGCTGCGTGACGCCAACCACGGACCTCTGCTTCCATCTTGTGGCAGCACAGTGAAACACTTCCTCCCATCACACACCCCCTCCCTCCATCACCCCCTCTCTCTTTAATATCGGCACTGTGGCGAATCTAATCTGGATCTCCTTTAAGGCAATAAAACCCAGATAGCTTCCTTTAAATGAAAAGCACCGCTTATTACCAGCTTTGAAATCCTCGTTTATTTGGCGATGTGCATGATAGAAAAATGATTCATGTCGAGGTTCAAATGGGCAGGATGACGAAGATCCATGGTGTCCCAAGTGCATATTTCCTCAAGTATTGTATTCCACGGTATATAATAGTGTTATCCACGGAGGTTGAACTATGCTGCACGCCACAAGATGCTTGTTTTAATGTCGCCTGCTTTATCCCTTCAAGCAGCCAAAAGCAATTCCCGATAAATGTGACCCTGTTGCTGAGCCGGTTGGAGGGGCGGTGTAATTTTCTGGCGCGTTAATGACAAAATACGGCTGCAAAGCGAAGACTTTTCACCGTAAAAGTTGATCATAAAGGCTTTTACGCGGACGATTTATTTTTATTTTGCTTCGGTTATGGGGCAAACACAACAGAGCATGACTGGGCGCGCAAATCAGTTGTTTGGGTTGACCTAAAAATTAGTTTAAATCCACAATAAATTTGGGAACAGGCTCGCAATTTTTTGATTTAGGGGGGCTGCTTAAGAACTTTTATAGTAAAATATAAATAATATTAATGCACAATAAAATGTGATATTAAGAAATACCAGAACCATTTATATGGTTATTTCTGGTCTTCCAAATGGCAGTACATCTTGGCGTATTAGTCCAATAAACACCTGCCAACATTGCTTATTTTGGAATAAACATCTGCATCGCCCACATATCATCGGATTCAGAATATAAATAGAAAGCAAACGGCAGATTTAACATTTAGCTCAATCAGTGTTACTATGTATAGCTACATGTCTCCCAGCATGAAAGGTGCCTTTGTGTATAGCCTAATTTAGAGTACAATTCAGGGCATCTTTAAATGGAGCAGAATGTCCATGGGTCAGTTTTACACCTGATCCATAAATGACGGCAAATTGTGTCAAATATTTGTCCACGTGCTATGTTAGAAGCAGGCATTGCAGCACCACTCAAAACAAATAAGAAGAACCGAGTTTAAAAATAGTTTTTGTGACTTTTTTGGACAGACAATAATCAGCCTTTCACTGGAGGACGGGGGAGAGGGGAAAGAGAAATGAGAAGGCTGTTGTTGGCATAGCTCTATCAAGGAAGAAGGACTCCCTGTTATCTGTGAATGGGGCTTCTTCTCTTTTTTTGACCAGAATAGATATAGCACGAATTTTTAATTCGTTTTCTTTGAGAGACAACAATGCTTTATTTGAAAGCTTGATACAATTTGGGGCTTGTGAGAGATCCTTTTCTCCTTGTCCGAGCCCAGCTGCCCATATGGGATACAACGTGTGCAGCAAAGATCACAATGGCACCAAGTGACAGGCAGGACAAAAAGCCCAAGGATACATCTCCCTGACTCTGAACAGCACCAAGAAACTCAGTCAGTCTCTCTATCTGCACTGTCTGCAGCCCACTCCTCCTGCTACTCGTTAACATGCACGCCTATAACATCCAGCAACACCAGGCCTGGCCTTTTGTCTCTGTGTTGTGTCGTGTACTGTATTATGCAATGATGGAGTCACAAAACTGCTTCATTACAGGAGCGAAAAATGAGGACAGAGAGCCACACATAGGTTTTGATTTGTGTCCTACTTATAAGGCTCACACATATTAGTTTTAACATTTACTCCCATTTATTATTGTATTTAAACATAAATCTAGAGTCTGCTAAAATCAAATCACAGCAAATCATCGCCTTTTGCAATTCAGTTAATATCACATTACGCTCCATAATACCTTCAGTATAAGCGTTGATCAGCTCTATAAGCAATGCGTATTTCTTGTTTATCCACAAATACATCAAAAACCCAAACAACAGGCATAGTGTTGATGTATTTGACCTACAAGCTCAACCAGTGGTAGAACACAAAACCTTTTCTGTCCGGGACAAATTGAGTCTGTGTCGCCCACAAAAGCAGTAGCCCCTTGAGACTCAATTCTGTAAATAATTAGCAAATCTGCCCAATTTGGCTGTTTGTTCAGTGATGATAGGGGCGACTCTAACATCTGTTGTGGGATTTTTTGTAACCGGGACAAACACGATGCATGGATTTTTCTACTAGGTTATCATATTTACCCAAGATATTGACTGGGGTCTGATAATCCGCAGTGCGCTGCTACGGATCACTGGGGAGCCATTTGTGCTTTTTGTTTTGGTTCCACCTTAAACAAGATCATGACTAATAGAGCAGTGGAGAGTTTAATGCGCAATATCGATGCTAACACGTTATATGATTGTGTAAAAAAATACTTTATTAGGCGGTTAAAGCTCCTCTAAACCGTGCGTATTTTAGTTGACCGTTGTTGGCCGTGGTTAAACAAAGAAGACTGGTGACTGATTGATTATGCCTGCTCTATTTGCAGTTTAGCGCAAGATAACAATACATTTATTGCATTAAACGATTCCCCCCCCCCCCCCCCCCCCCCCCCCCCCCCCCCCCCCACACAGTCTACCACTTTACACCCAAGGCCGGGAGTGGTTGGGGATGCTGACAAAAAGGAGAGCTTTTCACTCAAAGGCTTCTTATGTGGAGAAGCCCTCTTATATTAAGTGAGTGGATTTTAGTCCCGTTTCACAAGTGACTTTAGCCTCTTTATTAGTGAGGTGTTCGGATTGTGGAAAAATATTCTCCGGATTAAATTCTCTTAGAAGGAACGGAGTGAAGTGCGCTGGAGATTTATTCCCAGAGTCAAGCTCCATTCTGTGGCACAATAGCGTTTAGCTCCTCGCCCCTCATTGTGATTGGTAGCAATGTTTTTTCAGAGATGATCAAATTGAATATAGGACACTTGTATAAAGCAAAACCTCTTTTCAGAAACACAGCATTTTATTTTAAAATCCTCTTAAAAAATGTGGGATATTTAGCCAACACCGCGCAGCTACACTGTTATTTACATAATGTGATCTGACACGGCAGTCATAACGTTTTTGCCAAAACTCACTCCCTCGTTTTTTTTTCAAAATGTGTAAATATATAGAGGCTGATCTTCAGCTTTATGCTCCCGAAAGCTCTCTAGGTTGCAAACATATGCCACAAGATATTTACAGTAAATAAAAACAAAAGGAAAAAATAGCTGCAAAGTTGCCAGTGTTTATTCATGGCCATAAATATTTTTCGGTTCATAAAAGAAGCAAGAAATTAAAATTTCTATAATTATAAAGTGGTTCGTACGTGCTGATAATAACACGAAGGGACAAAATAAAATAAAAAGAGGAAAACATCTCTACAACCAACACACAACATACTTTACAAAATAATTTCACAATAAGAGCATTGACATTCTTAATAAAATCTATAAGGGAGAGGTTCGGACCCAGTTCTCTTAACGAAAACACGTAAACACGGCGCACACATGAGCCCCGAATAAAAATGGTAGTATATATATGAGTCAAGCTGCAAAAATGAAAAGTCTTTTGTTTTTTGTGTTTTATTTTTTTTTTCTTTGCTTTGTGGTGAAACTCCCTATCGTGCCTCCAAGCCAAGTCTCTATAATTTCTCTCACCAAGTCCACTGTTGCGTTTGCACCAAGTGATGTGCTGGGAACTGCGCCGCGGCGCTGTACTGCGCGTTATACTGCATGTGTTGGAGTGACTGGGCACTATAAGCCGAGAAGGGGATCCCGGCCTGAAAAGTGGCCGCCAAGTCCTGAGCTTTAAGAGTGTGACAAGGCTTTCCATCCCTGACTAAGACGGGCACGGCCACCCGCCTGGGAGAAGGGAGATGGGTCACTTCCATACCTTTCTCGGCCCGGGCTCTCTTCATCTTATACCGGTGGTTCTGGAACCAGATCTTCACCTGGGTCGGGGTGAGGCGGATGAGGCTGGCCAGGTGTTCCCTCTCCGGGGCGGACAGGTACCTCTGCTGCCGGAAGCGGCGCTCCAGCTCGTAGGTTTGCGCCTTGGAAAACAACACCCTCCTTTTCCGCTTCTTGCCGGAGTCGCTGCCGCCGCTGCTGGAAGTTTCCTTGTCGTTGTCCGGCGATTCGTCGTCCGCGGACGGCTCCGGGGACTTGGCCGAGTCCTGAGAGCTGGCGGAGAGACCGTGCACTGCGGCAAGAAACGGGAGAAACACTGTCAAAATGTTATGATGCAAAGTTCCCAGGGACATTCATCATAAGCACAATCCATAAAATCCCCAATCAAAAACTTTGGATGCATTAATTAACACTGCTGCTGCGTAAAAACAAAAATAACCTGTTAATGAACTATCAAAACAGCCTTACACACATTTGTAAACTATAGAGAGGACTTGATTATTAAACATGGGGCATTTTGGTGCATTTTAAATCTATGCAAGTGAAACAAATATTCTCAAGCCCAAATCTCCACAAGCAGAGCGAGTCAGTGAAGCATTAAAAGGTGCATTGTCTGCCTGTAAATCCCCACAGAATGCAGTCTTATATTTCACACCGTGCTTAAACTCTGAATAACTTAAAACACCCTTGTTTTGTTTTTTATCCACGGTGATTTATCGATCAAAATCTTAAGATGCAAAGTGCGTTCTGCCTAAACACTGCATGCATTTGTTGAGCTGTAAACGCCTCAAGACGAGCGCAGCAGTGCTCGGTGCATAAAGATGAATGCTGCAAGCCACCCAAGGGCATCTTTAGGGTGGAATAGGAGGCTGCATGCCATCAATTATGGCTTAATTTAACCGCATAGCATGGACATATATGACATAAATCATTATCAACAAGATGAGGAAGGATTCTTTGACTCTACTTACATGAATATTGAATACTGTCCGTAGTAGCAAGCCATCGTGTGTAAGGATTCTCACTACTGTCATAAAAGGGGTTCTTTAAAGGCAGATTTTGAACGTTTTCTAGAGGACTTTGCACCAAAACTCCAGTGGTTTTTGTCGTAGACGTGGTCTCCGATCCCTCCGTGTCATCCTCCGGTCCGGTGATAGATCCTTCTTCGTCATTTGTGTCAGGAAGGTCCAAAATGTCCTTTACAGAAAAGCCCGTCTTTGTGTTGGTCAACGACATATTCTGGTGGGGGGGAAATATGCAGGGAAAAGTTGCTGCACCAGCTTTTCGGACAATCCGCTGTTTTGAAAGAAGAAAAAAACACACAAGCAGAGGCGATGTTTCAGGAGAAATAAGACGAGTAAGAGTCGCTCTACGCTGAAGTACAGTGAAAGCAGCCACTGTGGATAACCATTGCCTGAACAGGGAGCAGAGGATTCAGTGTCTGTAAGTCCAGGAAGAATGCCAAAGTGGCTGAAGTGCTATATGTGGCTCATGGATACTGTGCTACTGCTGGGTGCTAGAGGGAAATAAGCCATTACCTTGTCCGATCAGTC